TGGGAGGAAAAAGGACGAGGGGGGGGGTAGAGGCGGAGGGGGAGGGAAGGGGAGGGGAGGGAGATGAAGAGAAAGATGGAGAAGAGGTCCGTTGCTTAGCAGTGGAGAATCTTCTGTGCTCGCTCTGATCACTGCCCCCCTCGCCCTCCCCCTCCCCCTCCTCCTCACCTCATCCCTTCCTTCAGCCGTATTTGTTCCCTCATCCCTACATACATGTGCGTGTTATGAGTGTGTGTGTGTGTGTGTTGTTGTGTGTGTGCGCGCGCTGAGTGACCCGGTTGTGACACTGGAGCTTCATTCCCCAGGCTGAGTGGGCTGCTATTGATTGGCCCAGTCTTCCAGATAGGGAGAGTAATGGCTTTCCGAGGCGAGGTGAGGGTAAGGGTTGAGGGCTGGGGGTGGTGAGGGGNTTGTGCAGACAAGATATGACCCCTCCCCCAATATCCTTCCCTCCCTCCTTCCTTTCCCCATCCTTACCACCCACACATCCATCTCCGCCCCTCCATTTCTCCCCCTGACTCCGTCTCTCACCTCGCCAACTCCGCACCTCGACCACCCCCAACATTTTTCTTTTTTATGTCTCACCTCTCATACATCATCACCATCTCTTTTTTTTTTCTTGACAGACCTTTTTTCTTCTCCCTCTGCCCCCCACCCCCACCCTTCACCTCCACCCCTCCCTCCCACATGGATTTTCAGCTTTTCTCTGCGCCGTCACCTCCCTGCCTTTATTGATTCTCTCCATTATTTAGTAGCATTAGTCAGAATGAAGTGTTTAAAACCACTCAATATTCTGAGTCGGCACCTACATCATAAGCGGACGTGTCTGTTATGTTATGTTGCTACGGAAACAGTGATGAAATGGCGGTTGGATGTTTTGCAGGTTGTGTTTTTTTTTTTTTGTTTTTTTTTAATCTTCTCTTGTTTTAGATGGTGATTCTTAAAATTAGAGGAAGTAGCGCTGATAGTGGCCAGAGGTTTCATCTGCCGTGTTTCATCTGCCGTTTACAGATGCAACAAAACACAGAAAGACCCAAACACACACACACACACCGCACATATACATAAGCACAGGTTTCCCTGCCGTCCTTGATGCAGTAATGAAGTGTGCGTCCCATGGAGAGGGTTGTGACCCAGTTTGACTGTGGCCGTCCCTGAGTGTAGATGTACTGAAGACTGTACTGTTAGAAGAAAGACAGGCTGGAAGAGAGTAAACAAAACAAAAAAAAAGTATGAATCCACATGTGGACAAATGAAAAAAAAAATAGTTTTTTGTATTTTCTTTTTTTGTCATTGTCACCATATAAACATGTTCCTTATTTGGTAACCACTTCCTGCGGCCGACACTGACATCATTGATTTCCCACTCCAGGAAAATCAAACCAGGCATCCATAAATGTTTTATTCTGTCTTCAATATAAGGCCATAAGGCCAGACCTTGTGAGTTTTTATTCATCCCGTGTCCCCCACACTGCCATTCATGTGATGCACGACTGTAGAGCTGAAAGAAACGAAAGAGAAATAATAAATAAATAAATAAATAAATAAGCAGAAGAGAAAGGCCATCAGGCTGAGGGGGGAAATAACAGTCGATGTGTTTGGTAGAGATAAAGATGTGAGACTGAAGAGATGAAATTGCAACACATCCGTACATACGTGTGCGACTGCGAGCGTATCATATGGCCCGGAGGGAGACGGCGAGGCATGTGACCAGACCGTGACCGGGGCTATAGGGTGTTGATAGGGTGACGCGACTACAGTAGAGCTGCAGTTCAAAGGGCTTTTGTGTGTGTTCTTGTGCATAACAAAGAGGAGCGTTTGTTGAGTGTGGCTACAAAGACTGTATATACATTTTCTATGGCTATTCACTCCCAGGCAGAGTGTATTTCTAATATATGTGTGGGTGTGTGAGAGTGTGTGTGTGTGTGTGTTCTGCATGTCGAGGCTGTTGGCCTGTCACTGGGCTGCTCATCCTGATCACTGTCACTTTATAATAGAGGCCTAGGGCCATCCATCTGGTGTGTGTGTGTGTGTGTGTGTGTTTGTGCGCTTGTTTGTGTGCATGCACATGTGCCAGAGCAAGTGATTTGTTGTCATTATAGCCCTGCATCCGCCCCTTGTTCCCCTGTGAAGGAGCTTTGGAAATGGAGCAAAACTGCTCCGACCACAGAGCACAGTTCATCTGACTGGAGTACGGCGATGAATTTACGGGTCTTTGCTGACTTAACATCTGGTATCATCAAATTTTTGACGCAAATGTGGAGCAAATCTGTCCCCCTACTGGTCAGATATCAACCATGGATCATAGACAAGGAGTTGATCAAGCAATCTGTGTCATTAGTGGAGCCTTTTCTCTGGTTTTGGTACGAGAAGAGACATTTTCCTGAGCTTGTGATTTTAGAAAAAAAAACATAATAATCGTTATGTCATGTACATGATGAGACAATCCTGTAGGAGCCTGACTGTGAAAAAAATCATCATCAATGTTTGGTGTAAACAGCGTTGCTCCTGGATGGTTCTGTCATACTTACTCAGCTGTTTTCACTGTATGTAGGTACTGTATGTACTCCATCAGCCGTGTATTTACGCTCCTTCTCCTTCTCCTTCTCCTCCTCACGCTCCTTCTCCTTCTCCTTCTCCTTCTCCTCCTCCAGCAGCGTCCTCTATCAGCAGTGAGTCCTCTCCAGTGTCCTCTCCGGCAACCAACCACAGCTCTCCAGTCAGTACGCCCAAGAGGGGCCCTCTTGGCCCAGCACCTGTCCTGGTTACCCCTGCTGGTCACAGTGTGCCAAACACTCCACCTGTAGTCACCATTGCTCCAACAAAGACTAGCAACGGCCTGTGGAGGAACGAAGGACGCCAGGTAAAAAAAAAATAAAAAATTTTTTTTTGCTGCCTCAATACAAAAGTCCAGGCTTTGGAGAGATGAATGAATGTTGTAGTTGGCTCGTATCCAATGGTGAGACATATGTACATGTGACAAGGCAGTTCTATCAGTGTGTTCTCCCCCAGCCCTCTCGGCTCCATGTGTTTAACAATGCCAACTGCCACTGGGACATTGAGGTGACAGCCTCAACGGCAGCTCACATCTGTGCCCCTCTTACCCCCCTGCCCTCGTCCTACTTGGCCTGCTTGCCCTTGGACAAGCCCCTCCTGACTCCGGCAGCCTGTAGCCTTCTCATTCCTGACCCTCTTACCCCCTTGTCCGGTCTTAGCCTCTTCACCAAGGCAGTCAAGTGCAACCATTGATTCGTCACCCCGCACCCACTCACTTTCTATTGAATAGTTAGAGAGAAAGAGAGAGACAGAGATGAAGAGAGAGAGAGAGAGCGATGAAGAGAGCGAGCTGTTTTCTTTGATAAGGACTGGATTACGGATTGTGGCCTGGTTATCTCAGCTCCAGGCTAATGGTCGAGGCCAAGTGCATGGTGGCGATCAGCATTCTGCAGGATGCAAAAAACTCTCTTTGACAGTTCCCTTGAGACAGTGAGGCGGGAGGCTGGGGGGGGGGGGTTGCAAAGGTTGACCAAAGAGGTCAGTTCCCTCCCCCTTCACATGAACCGACCCTTTAATAGTTCAAAGGTCGACCAGAACTGAGAACGAACCACAGGGACTCAAGCGGGTTCCTCCCAGTCATGTCGCTCTTTGGTGGCATTCTTTCTGCACAGCTCGTTTTACAGATACCTACGTTGAAACTGATATCATTATTTCTGTTTGTGTGTTTGATGGTGTGATCGTGAATTCCCTAGAAATGCAAGCCAGGACCTTGGTGTCATTAGGGGAGGGGCTTCAAAATCCCTTGGTGACAAAGGAATGTCTCTTCTTCCACAAGTTACTGAACATTTTGTCAGGCTACATCTATAAAGATCTTATATACCTCTGGAGGTTACGTTTATAATAATAATCGTCGGCATACACTAAGAATGCAGCATGTTTTGGGTTCTGTAAAATGAAATATACCTCTTTAAAACACCTCCATGTTGTCATTTTTAATCCTGGAAATCCAGCACCATGCTGGTGCTTTTGTAGCAATCAAACTGAGTAAATAAATAAAGCTGCAAAACATCTAAAACAGACATGGGCAAACTACGGCCTGAGGGCCAGATACGGCACGTTTGGCCTTTTAATCCGGTCCGCCAAACTTTTCCATATTATGTTATTAATTTATATTGTTATTATTGTGCTTCTGCCTTGATAGATGGTGAAAAAATCATTTAGTATTCCAGCCTTTATGTATAACTTTTACATGTCATTTATCTTCATTAACACAAACACGCTCCACCTTTCTGCTCCTGACCCGACCTCCCCCTCGGTCAAATTTTAGGACCCATTTTTGCCTGCGGAGTCAAAAGTTTGCCCACGCCTGATCTTAAATGTTGCACATCTAACACTTTAGAGGGAACACTTCAGGAGTCTGCAGAAAGAGCAGAATGCCTCCACTGACTTAACAGCTACTTCTCAACACACAAAAAAAAGAAAAACATGACTGCTTTCTAATTTCAGTTCACTGCCATAGCAAACATGGGTGACACGTTAGACCCCTGCACATCTTCACAGTGGGATTGAGTTTGACATCAGTTATGACACGATCAGAGCTAGTCGAATCTAAGTGTGACAGAAACATAAATAAATGGCCATAAACCCAATTCTTTGGAGAGTAAATCAGGAAAATAAGATNNCCTGCTGAAAACCATCCAAAAGAGGCTCATCCACTGCCGTGTGTGTGAATGTGTGTGTGTGTGCCCAGCTTTCCGCGTTGGAAGCGTCTATTAGTTTGTCTCTGGCTGAGATATTAGTCTTTTAGATGGTGGTTGATGGGCGAGGCAGCAAAGGAAGGAGGGCAGGCTTGGTGTGTTGGCATTTTCCTTTAATGACTGCAGGAGGCTGCTCCCGCTGCTGCCTGTAATTGCTTTTTAATTGGCCATTTGGATTCGCGGCTCCGTCTGAGAGGCGTAAACGAGAACTCTACAATGTGCGGGGTCTGGAACCCTCGCAGGGGGTTACAGGAATGTTGCTCACACAGAGGAAGATGCCCGTTAATGGATGCTTTCTTTGAATCTCCGTGCTCGTGTTTGTGCCCTGTTGTGCGTGTACGGCAGGCTGTAAGTGAAATTCTGGAGTCGGCCATGTTTTTTGAGATCAAACTGGGTTGTATGGTTAGACATGTAGAGAAACTGAGGTGCCATTCTAATGGGACTGGAAGGTTCTGTCAACCTTTTTTTTTTTAACACCAAGGTCAGCCAGCACAGGCTTTTCGTTGAAGGATCAATAAACTTTCAAAATAAAATATCTTTCAGCCTTTATTCCGATAACATTAACATGTGTTGTCTGTAGTAGATAAAAGACAAAAATCCATATTTGTCGCAGTTAAGGAGGTATTTTCTGTCGGCCACCGACAGCCTCGGTGGAAGGAGCCACAGTGAGCACACAGACAGATTATAGTGCGAGCAGACCTGCACTATTTTTGAGCTCGGGGAGCTTTACAGCGTGTCCCAGTTGTCGAAGGGTCATGGGGCACGCCGGATCCAATCCCAGCTGAGGCTGGGTGAGAGGCAGGGTACACCTTAGAAAGGTCACCTGGCAATCAAAGAGCCAAGGTACAGAAATAGCTTTTCACACTTGAGAATTTCCAGTTAATCGTAAATCTCAGCGCACGCACATATGACGCCAAAATGTTGGCGCAAACATGTTTTTGGAAGTGATTATCCCATTTAGTGGAACATGGGCAATAAACCATGGCTGTAGGAACAGTATGTGTCTTCAGGAGGATCCTGAATGCAACACGAGTCAACATGAAGATTTAAAGCCTAAAAAAGCAGTTCGCTACAAGACTAGCTTCACGACTAGCTTCACGACTAGGGGGGGGAGTTAAACCCATAGATCTTTGGACATCGGGGACCAGTGATCTGTTTTGAATGGTTCCACCATTTGTTTTGTCATATGTAAGATTTTTTTTAATAGCTGCCTGCTTTATGAAGGAGACCATCCACCTCCTCCTGGGGGCGGGGGGCGGTACTACTGGAGACTGGAGGAATAGAGTGGTTTACTGTTAAGTGGAGTGAAACAGACAACAAGGAGCGAGCTCCAGAGGAGTGGGAGGTCAAAGAGAAGTAAAGGGGGGGGGGAGGTGGGAGGGGTGGACAGTGGAAACATTAGAAGCATTTAAGATTGGATGTTAGCGCTTCAGTGTCATTCTGGGTCAGTGGCTGCAGAGGAGGATGTGGAGGTAATGGCTCACTAAATAGGATTTGTTTTATCAGACACTGTAGTGGGAGAGAGAGACAGAGAGAGAGAGGGAGAGAGAGGACAGTGCTTCTGTAAAGACTCTCTCTCTCTCTCTCTCTCTCTCTCAAAATCTCTCTCTCAAATCCTGGAGGTTAATTTAGTGCAGCCAGAGATGACCTCTCCTTTTTCTCCCCCTCTCTGAGGCGTCATCCCCCCCCCCCCCCCCCCCCCCCCTGCACCCCCCCCCCCCCCCCCCCCCCCACCTCTTCAGTTGAACAGCTCGCCGTCCCACCGTCACGATGATCACCTGCCCCCGCTGTTCAGTTCAGTTTGTGGCTGTGTTAACTTTCTGTCTTTGCGAGGATGGTACGCGGTGTCGCCATAGCAGTTGTAGGCAGGGGGAAAAAAACCAGAGCCTCAGAAAAACCGCTCCCACATGAGCAGCAGGATGTCTTTGTAGCTTTGAAGTGGGGGTTTGTCTACCTGCTGAGTGTGTGTGTGTTTTATTGTGTTTGTTGTCGGGGTTGGATGGTTGAGGCAAAGAAGTCTTACAGTCGGGAAGAGAAGGTGAAGGAAAGTGAAAGACGACAAAGGAATAGACAGAGGAAAGGAAGTTTCCTTTTGGATAACGTGTTGTTGTTGTTGCCGTACATTTTGGTAGATAATAAAAAAAATAATGAAAGTCAAATGATTTTACAGATTACGATTTTTACCTTAACACAAATTGAACAGGTGAGCGATACTGTTACGTTGTGATATAGGTAATTGTGTAGTGAGTTGTGATAAAAACCTAAATTATTGATTTCTAGGTTTACCTTTAGCCACGGAAAATAAATGCTAACTCAAAGGTGTTTTTGTACTTCATTTTTGCTCTAACTCTTTTCCTCTATTAGTATTTCTTGTCTTGCCTTTAGCTATTTTCGCTTCTTTTGTTGCTTGTGAAATTCACTTTTAGCTTTTAACGGGTTACGGTTGTTCTTAAATACTTGCATATTTATCTGTTAAATATACTTAATTACGACAAAGAGAGTGGGTTGTCCTTTTCAGTGTGAAAAAGTGAGACATTAGTGCCATTGGGGATGGAGGTGGCGCCTTGTTTACCCTGTATAAAAGTTCCCATACAGAAACGTGTGACTGCCTATTTTTGCATTTGTGTGAGAAAGTGGATAAATCCCAGAGTTCGGAGGAGAGACGGAGGCAGAGCCAGGCTGCTGCAGCACACAGGCCCATTCTGTCCCCGTCTCTCTCCCCACAGGATGTACTTCATGAGCCCTGACAACCGTGACGGTCACAGGTTCTCACAAACAATGACCGAGACTCAACCACACTTTTTTCTCTCTCTCTCCGCATCCCTCTCTCTCTCTCTCTCTCTCTCTCTCTCTCACCCTACAGGCTGACTCAGGGTCTCGTGGGGCCAGCAGGGAACGTCTGGGTGCTGAGGGCACCCTCCCCCAAGAAAAGGGTGGCCCCTCAGTCCCTGCACACCTCCTGGGAAACCCCTATGCCTTTGGTCTCACCCCTGGTGCTGTCATGCAGGATTCACGTTTCCAGCCCCTCAAGTGAGTCACAAAAAAAAACACTGTGGAGATTTACAGATGTATTGAGGCCTGAGCAGCGTCCCTATTATCATATCCTTTCACCTTCCAAGTGGATTCTGTTTGGGGGGGGGGGGCTTCAATTTGCACAAAAAGTCATGTAACTTTGCCCAAAATGTATGAGCTGAGAAAGAGGTTTTTTTTCTCGCAGATAGCTGGAGCGTTCGTGTGAACTAAGATAAATGACATGTAAAAGTCATGTATAAAGGCAAAAATGTTAAAATGCTTTTATTTTCTATGCCATCTATTGGGGAAATGGGGGTATTGCAGGCAAAAGGCTGAAGTAAAATGATAATAAAAATAACGGGCTGCATCCGGCCCCCGGGCCTTAGTTTGCCCATGCCTGTTCTAGACGGTGACAGATTTGATTAAGTCTTGGTGTTTGTACTAAATTGTGACTTAGTCTTAGTCCCAATTTAGTCAACAGGGTGACAGATTTGAAGTCTTAGTGTTCGGACTAAATTGTGATTTAGTCTTAGTCCCAATTTAGTCAACAGAACTGACACAATTAAAGACGATAAATATTGAAAATATTTTAGATGAGATTCAGTTTATTTTCATCTTTAAAAAATTAACCATAAATTCTAAAAATCTTTATAAAATCTGAACTTGGCTTCTGTAGCATTCTATTACAGTTATGTATGAAACTCTAACCGTCTTCCCTCCTCTGTTCAGTCTGCCTCGACAGTTGACCAACGCAGTACCGCCTGGTCCAGTACCAGAAGAGTATCTCCGTGGTTTCCGGCCCTACGCCACGGCTGAAGATGCCCTCCGCATGCCCTCTTTGCCCTTGGGTCTGGACCCCGCGACCGCAGCTGCCGCAGCTGCCTATTATCACCCCGGCTACCTGCCCCACCCATCCTTCGCACCATACAGGTTTGTTTTGTCGACTTGGCACCCATGTCCTCCGAGAGCAAATTGTGCAAACTCGAGCATATGAGTGAACAAGGTATTTGCACAGCTCAGACTCAGCAGTAAGTGCATTTGTGGATTAGCTGACCTTGGATTCATGTTCCCAGATGTAAAATATTCTCCCAGAGTTCTTTACCTGTGATATTTATTTAGCTGCTGAAGAGAGTTTTTATGGAGTGTAAGAGAGCTAAGCTGAGGCAGACGGCAGTGCAAAAAAAAAAAAGAAAAATCAAACTGTAAAAATTCTTCTGAGGGTTAAAATATTCAGGTGAGCTGTATCAAAGTGTCTTTTGTGAGATTTTGTCGAAAAGAATCTTAACATCTGCTTTTTGCGGCGGTCACAGTCGTGTCATATTCCACTTTCAAGGCTGTTGTTTGGTTTCATTTTGTTTGTCGTCGTGATACGCTGAGGTTAAAACAAACGGAAACACTTCTTACATGACACTTTCCAAAAAAAGAACAGCACAGACAGATTCGTGTGATTCACAGGTGACAGTTGACCTGACACATTTGTATTTATCTGTGAGAATTCACACGGTTTACAGAAAAATCATATATTTAAAACAAGTAAAAAACTTTTTTTTCAGCATTTTAAGTCTACCTTTACAGAGACACTAGGTCAATGTTCTCTTCTTAAAAATAAACCCAATAACCCTGAGCGCTGATCAGTTCTTGACCTCTTCTATGAATGATTCAAAGGAAAGGAAAGTGAACTACTTGTCATTGTGACAATGGCACACCACGAAATGTGACCTCTACTTTTAACCCATCACCAAAGTGAGCCGGGGAGAGCACCTCAGTGGCAACTTGGCAGTTGGTGGACTCAAACCTGCAACCTTCCGGACCCAAGTCTGCTTTTTTAACCACCGAGCCACCACTGCGCCATTTTTAATTTTTAATCTTTTTAATTTTAACCTTTGAACATTGAAAGATGTCGGAAATGTTATACAAGTATTAAATTATAAGACGCTACATTAGGCTTCAGATGAATCTTTGAACATTGAAAGATGTCGGCATGTTATACAAGTATTAAATTAAGACGCTACATTAGGCTTCAGATGAATTTGTGGTCTGTGATTTGATCTCCGACTCTTGATCTTGGACCAGGAACGAGTCCTCGTTAAACTCTTTATGGGACAAAACAGTAGAAGACGAGCCAGGACAGACAGGACGTGAATTAATCCCGTGTGTACAGACTACAACGTCTGCTCGCGTTTCCACCACCGAGAACAATCTTTGAAGATTATGCAAATGAGTTCTCTGGTGTGGAAATAAAGTGCCAGCGAGTTCCCGTCATCTTGGAAGAGCTCTGCTGCAGAATGTGTCTGACTGGTGGATAATAAACAGGGAGACTCTCAGCTGTAGACTGGAGGAAGGCTGACATTAATTGATGCTCACCTGCTCAGAACAGTCTGCAAAATGCATTGTTTCCTCTGTTGTGTTCTGTATCCACCATCTCCACCCTGGAGACACTGCTGCGGCGTTCACACCTTTCTGCATCTGACGGGACAGAATGACTGTTGACTAATGAGAAGGAGAAGCATATGAGCAATTGATCATGAGGATTATTTTTTTAGCTCACTGGATGGTTCGCAGTCCATGTCCGGGCCCCTTACTGTACTGTTTATGGACAGACAACCAGTCATAACTGCATGTATAACCGTGGTCAGTTCAAAGCTTCCAGTGAACCTGATCCTGGAGGCTGGAAAGAACACTGATGCAGAGCGGGGAGATTTAAACTCCAGGGCAGGGGTGGCCCACTTGATCAACTTTGAAAGTAAAAAAAAACACAAACACTGCCATGTTCATGATGTTTTGTAAAAATATATATCATTAAATATGAATATTTCCTTTTCTAAAGTGGGGAAACATGGACTTGTTGTTACTGATAAGTAATTATGTTATGATTGTACTGGTCCGGCCCACTTGACATCTAATCAGGCTGTGAGTTTAACACCCCTGCTCTAGAGAGGGATCGAACCTTAAAGAAAAATGAAACATTAGAAATGTTTGTCGCTCTGCTCCTCGTACTAATTTTCCATCTGTAACGACGGAGATTCTGATCGTTTCTACAGGGTCTTTTCCCGAGTTGTACGTCATTTCTGTGCTCTTTAATTGAACCATGCTGCACTAAATTGTCAGCAGCGGTGATTGGTATTGTTAGAACATAGAGTGTGAGTGTGTGTGTGTGTGTGTGTGTGTACACATGGGCCTTTCTTGCTTTGGGCGATCACACATCTGCGTGGCCCTGGTCTGTCAAACCCGGGAAGATCACAGCACCGCAGCAGCCATCACACACTGTGCTGTAATGGATTTAACGAGTCTACAGTCACACATAAAGCTGTTGATGCACAGTAAAAACACACACACACACACATATATACACACACATATACACAACATTGTGATTCGCAGTGATGGAGCTTCACTGACAGACGGGGACGTTTCCTCTTCAAAGATAGAAGACTCTGCTCACACTTCTGTGGTGACACAGGTTAATGAAAATGAACGCTGTGTTGGCACACGGGGATGAACTGACTTATTCATCTTCTCTCTCTCTCCCTCTCTCTCTCCCTCTCTCTCTCCATCTCTCTCCATCTCCCTCTCTCTTTACCTCTCTCTCTTTTTTAATTTCAATCCTTATCTCCCAGGATGGACGACCCATTCTGCCTCTCTGCTTTGAGGTCACCTTTCTATCCGCTGCCAGGAGGGGGAGCTTTACCCCCCATCCACCCCTCTGCTGTTCACATGCACCTACCGGGAGTTCGATTCCCTGGAGATTTCACTCACCCTTCACTGTCAGCGCTGCAGTCTGAGAGGTAAGAGCTCCTGAACGCACACACAGATGTTGCACACATCATTCAGGTGACAGTGCTAACCAGGTACACCAGTGCTGGAATCATTTATGTAACCGCAGGAACCGTGGTCCTCAGAGAGCTAACAAAGCATGGGCCCGGATCCTGTTTTGAAAAGTCATAGCTCCGGAGAAGGTCATAAAATAAATTCTCAGGCAGTAAAAATATCATACAGTCGTCATAATGTAGTGACCGTATGGTTCAGTGCCGTGAAACGAGTCGTCATAATGTAGTGACCGTATGGTACGACAGTGACGTTACAAGGAATCTTTAGAAAAATTGATTGAAATTGGTCAAAAGGACCCAAAGATAAAGGAAATACAGGAACCCACAACAGCTGCTGTTTGTTTTTCTTTCTCTAAGAATTCTGTGCTGTTTTTTTTTATTATTTATTTACGTTTATTTTTAGTCTCGACAAGGGATATTCAAGTCTTACAGCTGCAAAAAGATGGGGGAGGAGAATGAAGTTAGGCAACGTGGTCCAACAACAAAGCCATAATATTGTTGTATTTATAATAATATATATGTTTCAGTCCACAAAAAGGCGGCTTGCGGGCTGCATGTGGACCGTGGGCCTCCATTTAAGCCCCGAATATAATCTTTTTCTGTCGATAGAAAAAAATGTTTTTTAACCATCATACTAGAAGCATGTGGACAAATTTAATTTAGACTGTTAATAATACATTTAGCTAATGTTTTTGCCTGTAGAACAGTCAGGAAGGCAGAAAAAAAGTCAAACAAATACTTATTTTTAAGACAGTACTTCTGCAGGAATGTTGGAGATGAAGAATTCCACCAAATTCTACCAAAGTAGATCTCATCTCATCTTAATGTTTGACATTTTCTTTCTGCTCGTGTCTCTGCTCTTTTTAGGCTCCAACTGGAGGACGAGCTGCGGCAGAGAGAGAGGGAGCGGGAGAGAGAACGTGAGCGAGAAAAGGAGAGGGAGCGAGAGGCGGAGAGGGAGAAGGAGCGGGAGAGGGAACGAGAACGGGAGCGAGAGAGGGAGCGGGAGAAGGAGCTGGAGAGGGAGCGAGAGAGGGAGCGTGAGAGAGAGCGGGAAAGAGAGAGGGAGAGGGAGAAGGAGAGAGAACGAGAAAAGGAGCTGGAGCGGCAGAAGGAGCGAGCGCTGAGGGAGAAGGAGCTCCTGGCCTCCAAGGCCATGGAGAGCCACTACCTGGCAGAGCTCCACGCCATCAGGGGGCAGGAAGACCGGACCAAGCCTGAGAGACTCACCCCCAATCGGGCTGGTATGTGTCTGTGTTTATGAACTACTGAACGGTTTATGAACGGTGACAACAAAAGACAGTTATCAAGTTTTTACAGAGGCCTAATCTTCAAGACAACTTGACTTTAAATATATTTTTTAAGTTTAAAATTGGATTAAAATATTGCAAAATTACCTTTAAAATAGCTAAAACATGGTAAATAAAAAAGACGAAAATTAAAAAATATGACATTTATACATACATATACACATCCCATGAACATTAAAACATTTACAAAAAAATTGTTGTCAATGTCACCTCAAGTTTATTGGACCTAATTGTATTATATTAATAATATTATTATTTGTACTTATTTTAATCTTTTTTTACTCAATTTAAAAAATATAACCAAGTTTCCATCGTCAACTCATTTTTGTCTTCACTCTCTTTTTGTCTGCAGATAAAACCAAAGAGCCAGCCCTCCCAGCTCCCAAACCAGTCCCCCCAGGACTCCACTCATCCATGGTCCCACCCCATCATCAAGTTCCAGGTTTGATCTCGAGCCACGGTCTGTACCTGGGGCCCGGCTCCGTCGGAGCGGGGCTGCCCGGCGCACTGAACGCTCAGAGAACCCACGAGGAGGAGCGGTGGTTGGCTCGGCAGCGCAAGCTCCGACAGGAGAAGGAAGATCGGCAGTACCAGGTGTCTGAGTTCCGTCAGCAGGTTCTGGAGCAGCACTTGGACCTGGGCAGACCTGCTGACGCACAAGACCACAGGACCGACTCACACAGGTGAAAACAGCAGTCCCACGCTTTCAGACAGCAACACAAATTAATAAATAAATATATTATATTTAATATATATTTATTATATATTATGATATATAATATAATAATTATATATGTAATATTATATACATATAATATTATTATATATAATAATAATATAATATAATATTTATATAAATACAAATAAATGTGCAATAAACCACAGTGAGTTTTGCTTTGTTCGTGAAATGCACTCCATAAATAAAATTGAATTGAATAAATCTAACAAATCTGCTCCATCCCTACAGATCCATACCTAATCACCACGAACCAGGACCCCGCGACCACCACCCCCACTTAGGTGCCCCTCCACCCCTCATCTCCCCCAAACCTCCGCAACCACCACGAGAACACCACGCCCCACCGCCCACCACACTGTGGAACCCGGCATCCCTCATCGAAACCACCTCAGATTCCAGACGGAACCACGAGCCCTCAGGGATGGGACACTATGACCTCAGTCGGCTGCCCCCGGGGCTCTCTAAATACGATGACGGAGGCAGGAGGAGAGAGGGGACAGCGATGGACAAGTACCCTCCTCTGAGGGGTCCTCAAGGCCTGACAGAGCCCGGCACGTTCCTTGCTGATCTGGAGAAATCTGCCCAGTCTTTTTTCAGCCAGCAGAGGTCATCACTTCCCCTGGTCAGCCAGTATGAACTGGAGGGGGCTGTGAAGAGCAACGCCGGACTCAAGAGTTTCCAGGGACACCCAGGACACAACAGACAGGGACAAGCACTAGGAATAATCGCTGCTCAAGCCGTGGGACAGGGGTCCACACTGGGAATGGGCCCAGAAACAATGCTGATTTATGACGAGGTCCTTCAGCAGCACCGGAGGCCTGTCAGCAAACTGGACCTGGAGGAGAAGAGGAGGAAGGAGGCCAGAGAAAAAGGTATGATGGAGACACAGGCACAAAAGTTCAGATGAACAGCGCCCCCTATGCTTATGTGTGATCACGTTGAACTTAAATTTGATCCCGCTAAAAAGTTTTATTAGCATAGAAGGAAGATCAGTTAGCCACATGGTAACAAAAATAGCCAAAAGGGCTAATGCTAATCACCATTTATTATATGGTAAATAATAAATTGCTAAATTGCCCAAATTCCCAATATGTCGCACAGAAAAAAGCTAAGAGTTAGCAACAGTGCTAAGTTAGCAAAGTAGCTAATTGTAAGAGGTTAGTGTTAGCTAAAAAACAATTTAAATGTCATCTCTTTGAAGGAATTTTTTTTTATTTTAGTTGTTGATAATGTCATGTGATTGACACTGTAGTCGTTGATAATGTCATGTCATTGACACTGTGTTTTTGATGAAGGTTATAATTATTTTAGTCGTTGATAATGTCATGTGATTGACACTGTGTTTTTGATGAAGGTTACTACTATGAGCTGGACGACTCGTATGATGAAAGTGATGAGGAGGAGGTCAGAGCTCATCTCAGGAGAGTAGCAGAGCAGCCTCCACTCAAACTGGACGACTCCACTGAGGTAAAACACCTGTCAGAACCCACGGGTCCCTGGTTTTCCAAAATAAAAGCTCCTCAAAGTCACTGAGTGTGAATCTACTTTGGCTTCTCTGAACAGAAACTGGACTTTCTTGGAGTGGTAGGCCTGACTACCGTGGGGCGCCGGGATGAGGTGGTGCAGCAGAAGAGAAGGAAGAGGAGGAGGATGCTCAGGGAGCGTAGCCCCTCCCCACCTGCCCTGCAGTCCAAACGTACTCCGCCTCCTCAACTTAGCACGAGATTCACCCCCGAGGACATGGACCGAGCACCGGAGCTGGAGGACAAGAAGAGGTTCCTGACTATGTTCAGACTGTCTCACGTCACTGTGCAGCAGAGAAAAGGTAAGATACTAGAAACGTGTGATTTGATGGTCGAACGCTGTTTCTAGAAAATACTCATCAAAATGCAACACAAACTGAAAAAAAATATATAGAAACTTTAGGTTCACTGTGTCCGACCTCCTCATAGATAAATGAAAAGGCAAGGGAAATATTTTCCAGTTCACATTCAAGCTTGTTGTATTAAATATACATATACTGTATATATTAAATATATACATGCTTTACAGTGACATTTCACATCAGTGCAAATTCCCTACAATGGCACTAATAAAGTAAAATTATAATTGAATTGAATTGAATTGTCCATGTTTTGCCCCCCATGCAACAACTCTGGGCCTTTTAGGGGGACAGGCACCCTATTTTGGGAACCACCGACCTTCATTCCTAAGAATAAAAGGTGAAATTGCATTTATCTGTTGTGGTATATGACAAAGGCATGTATATACAGTATATAAGTTGATGCAGGTACAGAAATATTGGCTTCTTTTACCAGCATGTTTTTGCCCAGAACCCTTTAGTGATGTCATCAGGACTAAACCGCACCTCACCCTGATTGGCTGCCTGAATCAGGAAAAAAAAAATTCCTGATAATTTACACAACTTGAATCAAATGGATGGATTCCTGTGCAGTTAAAAGTAAAAATGTATGTGACTGATGTGGTGAATGAAGGTATCGACTAATCTGGTCAATACTTAGTCAGTGAAAACTCTCTTAGTATTTTTTTTTCAGTGCCTGTTGAGAGAAAAAAAAAAACATTTAATAACTGTCTGTTGATGTGGTTTGTGTTTATATTCATTTCTGTTCATCGAATCGAACTAATTTAATTCTGAAATGTGGCAATAAAGTGTTAGAAATTCCAAATTGAACCAAATGAAAATAAACAAAACGGGAAAATTACTTTTGAAAAAGTGTTCCATAGTCTGGGAGCGTGAAGACAGGATTGTATCTTGATCTTTGTGATGTGAAGCCTCTGGTGTTGAAACTGATGGGATTTAAACTACGTCGGCTGACACCATGTTGTTTCTTGTGTCTGACAGATAATGAAAGGGTGGTGGAGCTGCTCCAGGCCATTAAAGAGAAGAGTGTGACCCTGGACACTATTAGACATGCTCCTCATCCTCTGTGTAAGAGCCCTTCAGCGCACATCCACGGTGAGTAGAGCAGAGCAGAACACAGATCCGTACTGCACTAATGTTTCAGTGGGTTTATTGGTTCAATGACGGTCAATTATCAACACTCGCCATTTTACACCGTTCCATGACCTGAGTGCGACTGTAACTATCAACACTCGCCATTTTACATCGTTCCATGACCTGAGTGCGACTGTAACACGCGTTCACATCACTGCAGATTCTGCGTTCGCTCAGCCTCCCTCTGAATCAGAGGACCACAGCAACATCAGGCCACACAGCCCCCCCTCGCACAGCCCAGCGTCCCCCGGTGGACACCCAAAACCCCTGGGGGAAACAATAAGACCAAAGGAACCCCCTTCTCCAGCTGTCTACCCAGACAAGGCCCGGGGGCCCAGCGAAGCTCCGATCCCTAAGAGGAGCTCCAGTCTGCTGAACAGCTTTAGGCCTCCACTCCCTCTTCAGGCCAAGGAGGGTCATCACAGCGTGAATGGACGCACCAAACCTTGGGACAGCTTCACCCCGGAGGAGTTTGCTCAGCAGTTCCATGAGTCTGTGCTGCAGTCCACTCAGAAGGCTCTGCAGAAACACAAAGGTGGGTCATGTGTGGATGTATTGTTTAGAATCATGTTTTAAATCATAAATAAAAAAATGAATCCAAGTGTCAGAAACACCATCATCACATCATTCCTCCTCGTTGTCGTCCTCCTCCAGGTACATCCTCGGGGATGTCGGAGTCGTCCCACCTCCCGGAGTCCTCGGTGCACTACAACATTCCGGAGCTTCAGAACGCGCCGGGTCGACCTCCGCAGATGCAGTCCCACTCCAACGCTCACCCGTTTCCTCACCCGCTCTCACATGTACACCCTCAGCCCAACGGGCAGCACTTCTCGGCGCCGTCGCACCAAGAGGCTTCGGGCTCCAGAGACGACCTGTCTGGTCCAGAGGGATCTGAGGAAGAGGACGATGAGGACGAAGAGGAGGCTCCTCCACCCAAGTGGCGAGGCATTGAATCTATTTTTGAAGCTTATCAGGAATATGTTGAAGGTGAGCGGCACTGCAGTTAAAGTCTCCCAAATTTCCACTCTACTTTTCTGATGTGTATTTTGAATTTTTGTTCCTTAATGTTTCTGCATATGGGACTTTCTATGCTTGAATTGTTAAATAAAGACACACCTATTAGTTTTTCTTATACTTTTGAGAGCAGCCATGTTGGATTTCAGACAAAATGTCTGAGCTTCGATGGGTTTTCAACTTTAAAGCTTGTTCTGAAATTATTTCTATTTCAATAAAAACGTTAGCAATAAAGGTGAATTTAAAATTTAAAAAATCAAGAGAATTCAATGTTGTTCCCTTTTTGTGCCGCTAGGTGGTGGTATTCACATCCATGTAGTACAGTTCAGTTATTTTGGGTGAATATACAGTAGTGAAGTAGCGGTAACAGATTTAAACTTTGTGATTATATTATACTGAGAATTGCTGAGAGTCCAGTATTATCTTTGAGAATATATTTATCATAAATTAAAATCAATTGTACATTAATACATCTGCTGTAATGCCATGTGAATGTATGACTTTATGCCTGTACTATCTGTATCTAATTATTTTTTTATTTTATTTTTTTTTAGAGCAAAGTCTAGAGCGACAAGTGTTGAGAGACCAGTGTCGAAGACTAGAAGCTCAGAACTACAACCTTAGTCTGACTGCTGAGCAGCTGTCTCACAGCATGGGGGTAAGACACACACACACACACACGTACATGATCCCAGTGATTGACATCATTATGTCATCCTGGATGATTGTAATATTCAGACCTGCTCATTACGTAGCACATTTCCAGATCATTTGTACTTGTTGAAACTGGCTCTTGAGACGAAGACACAAGTTCAATTTTAGGACAGTTGTGACCTGTGAGTCAAAACGTTTGCTCATACCTGCCTTAGGCGTTTAACCCTGACAGTGGCAGTCCTGTAAATGTGTCCCCATTTATGGGACAAACGATTCCAATTCTCAACATCCCTCCTCTCGTCTCTGCAGGAGCTGATGTCCCAGAGACAAAAACTGGCCCTGGAACGAGAGAAGCTACAAGCAGAGCTCGAACACTTCAGGAAGTGTTTGACGCTGCCACAGACACACTGGCCAAGAGGCGGCCATTACAAAGGTTACCCTCCCAGGTGACCCCAATACACCCAACTGAAGAAACCCCCGGGCGCTGGCCACCTCCCTTCTAGACTTGACACCCAGAGTTTATTTTTCACAGCCATGTCCAGGCGGCCCCTCAGAGGAGAAGGTGGCGGGCGAGAGGAGATGAATGGGTGAGTGAATGGGTGAGTGAATGGGTAAATGGGAGACAGGGAGAGAGGGAAGAGCAGGCAGTCTATGGATTGTGGTCAGCCAGGGGACTATGCCACGAGCCACTAACGTGTGCCAACGTAGCCAAGACCAGTAGAGGGCAGCAGAACCTGAGCATCAACACAAAGCTATACACCTGCACCTGTTTCCCACTCTTCGTTCAGCCCCTGTTTCCCTCACTGCCACAACTACACAGACAATCCTGCCAATGAGAGCTAGCCTGCCCCCCCCCTCCCCCAGCAGGGGGCGACATTCAAGAGAATCTCCTAATGAAGGCTTCAGTCGGGAGTGACATTCACAGTGGCCACGTGAGCTTTTGAACTGATAATGCACTTAAGAATTTAAAAAAAAAAAGCTGAAGAACTACCTGGTGGTACTGTGTTACAACAAAGAACTGTTCAAATTAGGGAAGAACTTAGAAAAATGCACATTTTTTTGTGGAAAGAATTAAGGAAATGTTTTATTTCGAAATAGAAAAATGGAGAAATAAGAATTTTTAAAAGGTGCTTCAGCCTTGTATTGTATATAATATGAAGACTTAAAATGAATTTTTGTATGTTTTTATTACTTTAATCATGGTTCTTTTCAAAGAAAGCTTGCCATTTTTATATGTTTATGCTTTTTTGGGTTGGAAAAAAAAAAAAAGAAAAAGCCTTGCTTTTAGTGTTTGTAAGTGCTGCTGGCCAGAACAGTTCATTCTGAGACATTTGACAGAGTGAGGGAACACAGGAAACACTCCTCCTCCTCCTCATTTTCCTCCTCCTTTTCCTGCTCCTTCTCGTCTTCTCACACTCTTCTCCTGACACTGAGCAGCTGAGTGTTGGCCTCAGAACCCAGCTCTTTGTAGAAATGGTAAATCCCCTCTGTTATTTCACACCAACATTTATCCGTGTTTATTTGGACTTTAACCACTCCTTCTGTCCGCTCCACTGCTGCTGGCAGAACAAATTTAACAGCGTTATCCAGCAGGAACCATCAGTTGATGTCACATCACAATTTTTCCACTTTAACAGCTTTTTCAAGACATAGAAATGAAATCTGGTCCATTATGAACCTGTATTTTACTTTGTATGACATTACAGTATGTAGCATTGGTTCCAAACACACATTATATTAACTACAAAATTATTTTCACAGCATAGTACCAGGAACTTTTAGTACCATGAACCATTTCTACCAACCCTTTGGTATATCTTTCAGTCAAACGTCTGTTAGGGACTGGTGCATCATCATCATCAAGGGGAAAAGGTCTATGGGAAAACACCATGGATTTTTAATTTAGATAGAACTGTATTGCAGTTAGGGTTAAGAACCTTCTGGAAAGTACCATTGGCAAATACAACCCTGTGGTACCTGTGCATTAAAGCATGGGTTTTACTCCTAAAAATCAATCAAAAGCTGAAATTTGATCAGATTTCGATAAGAATGGTTGATGGGTGTAGATGAATAATACTTAATAGTACCCAACACTTTTAGTGTCAAGAAGCACTTTCTTTATACTAAATGGTGTACGTCCTGCTTTAACACAAGTCCTACCTCCCATGCACGGACTACCAACGGGGCTGAACAGCACAAAAGAGTAGACTGTTTTTGGACAAGAAAACAGTATGGGTACTATTACTATGCTCTCTGCACAGTACCAGGAACCACGCTGAGGTACTACATGGTTCCAACTTTACTACAGTAACCTTTGTTTTCATGCAGTAAAATCCAGGATAGTTGTACCTGTTGACCAGAGACTATCTTGGAAGGAAAAAACATGTTCTGTCGCTTCCATTTATGTCGCACCTCTTTGATAGAAAAGCACATTGTTCCTGCTACTGTGAAAAGTCCCTGGTACTAGTGCCTGCTGAGAAAAAAAAAACATTATTTATATATTTTTTGCCGTATAAGAAAAAGCCCTTAAACGACAGTCAAAAGAAGACACAGTGCCAAATAAAATAAAATAAACACAAAAGAAATTGTAGCATTATGGATTTGTTTTATTTTGTTTTAATTATTATTAAGCTGAGTTCCAATTAGGTAGCCAAACTTCTAAAACCAAACGGCATGTCGTCCATTTCTGAACACCTTTGACAAAACATTTCTTCATTTGTAAAACCCTCGTCTTTCAAAGTTGCCATACATTCTATAAAATGTTAAATCCAAAGTCAATAGTCACTGAAATCACTACCGTCCACTCTGCACTGAAATTCTCTTAGTTTGAAACTAACTTTCCTACCATTCACTCAGCCTTATCACAGACTGTAGAGGCCATTCACGGAGGGATAACAATCCCTTTAGTGAGTTGTTTTTGTTTTGTTTTTTAATGTGCAAAAAGTTAATTTTTAAAGACTGAAGCACAAAAACTTGCCCAAGCTTAAATTTCTATAAGTGCCTCAGGATTTGGGAGCATGTGAATGAATTTCAATTTTCATTCTCCACATGACTTTTTTTTTTTTCTTATATTGACGTGTCATCTGTTTGTCTCCTTTCAGAAATGTGCAAGTGAAGAATGAGTTCAAACTAATTTCATACAAGCATCTAAAAGAAACAAACGGAGAAGAACCAAGAGCGCCACCTATCAGTTAGTAATGGAGCACACGAGCTCTGCCAATCAACTGGGGAAAGAACGTGTAGTACAGTGAGTCCCTCATTTCCCAGCATCCCCTGTGTCTCCACTCACGCCCAGGCTTACAGTCACATGAACTCAGTGGAGGATGTCTATCTAGATGCTGTGAAATCCTGTTTTTAACGATGTACTTGTTTGGATTCGTTGTAATGTAATATATTCTTTGTTGAATGTAGTAATTAGGTATTTATGAATATATGGCTGTGATTTCCAGACAAAAAAGAAAATAAAATATTTGAAAAAGTTATTCGTCTCGTTTGTTTGATTATTCGCTGCTGGTTTTACACATTTATGATAACTTAAACTGTCATTTCATCCGTCAAAGACTCAGTTATCGACCTGCAGTTCTAAACTGAAAATCAGTACGTGATCATTTTGTAGCTAAACGACGATAACGTATTTATACATTACCCACTAATGAAAACGAGACACAAAAAAAACTGTCAGGAGCGGCGTCCAATCAGCACTGATGTCGCGATGTAACCAGGTGGGACAAATGAGGGTAAGAGCCAATCAGAGTCAACGTTCGTCTAGCAATACAAAACAAGACGGTATGAAGATAGGAGCGGGAATACAATTGGCGTGCCTTAGAAAATGGCGTGACTAAAACATTTCCGTTTGGACCGATTTACATGGACGTGTTTTAAACCGTTTGCGACGAGTCGTTGAGAGAGGAACACGTCACATTTGACGCGTGGTACAGGTATGTCGTCCTGAGATTCAAGCAAAGGTAAGCAAAACAAAGTATTCATATGTGACGTACTCTGGTTTAATACCTGAAGCAAAAATGTTGTCGCCCCGTTGTAAGTATTTTAATACTACTACGTACTCTATGTCTATGTATAGTATTCGTTAAGTAATATAATAGAATACTGTAATTCGTTAAAGATGAAATACAATATTTATAAAACATTAAAACAACAGTTCTGTGCCACCTTATTAAACTGGTGGCCCTGGTGTCAGTGATTATTCATCAACATTTACCAACACTCATGAATATGCATGTAAATGGTAGTTCAATTTATTAAGTTTTGTCAGGCACAGAATATGGTATAAATACACAACAAAACATACAGACATCATTGACACACAATACATTTTTTTTTTCTCAGACATGGAAATATAAAAAACAGTTAGTGAAATTATGTCTAATTCTAAATTAAATACGATTGATACAAACAAGAAAGGCATTATGCTTCTAAATATGTACAGAGAATAGAAAACTAAGACTTAATACTAAGAAAATCCCAGTAAATGCCGCAGCCTTTTTCCAATCTTATTAGAGTTTCTTTGACATCAGGATTAATAGTTGGAGAACTGTCCTTTACTGGAGCCCTGCTGCAGATTAGAGCGTAGTTTATACATGCAGTTAAGGGAGTCGAGCAGAAATGTCCGAATAGTGTTGATCTCCATCAGAGTCAGGTTGTCCAGCTGGAGAAGGATGACAGAGAGAAGGAGACAGTCTTAGTTTTGTTGGTTCTGAAGCTGCTGTACAACTTGGAATAGTAAGCATCATATGGTCGTAGTTTTACCTTGGCGTGAGCCTCTTGTTCTCTGATGAAGCTGTCTGCAGACAGGCGCAGTTTGGCGATTCGCGTGTCCCAGATGTCTTTGACCAGGGTTCGTATCTCGTCTGCTTTTGGAATGTTGTCTGATGCACTACAAAAAAAAACACACAAGGAACCATTGTCGAGGGTTTCATAATTCCTTCCTTGTTTTATGTGACTTTTAGGAGGATTTTTTTTTTTTTTTTTTAACACTGGGTCAGCAGCAGTTTTGTCAGCCCCATGGAAAAAGGACTGGGGGGACAGGAGTGAAAGTGTTCTCTTTCCTCTCAAGTTCTCGCATCTCCTCCAGCTTCTCTGCATTTTACATTTTAAAATTTACTTAATAATGATCCTCTAACAGCACAGTGAAACTTTGCATTACATTGACGATTTTCGTTGACTGCTTATGTAATTGTCCACTCTTACCAACTTCCATCCACTCAGGAGGAACAATTCTACATTTTTGCCTCTGTTTTAAGTTAAGAGCGAGCCATACGGGAACATCAACTGGCAGTCCAGGGTTAAATGGCCCAAGGTCCCCCTGAGCAAAAAGATACAAATGTAAAAAGGTATAAGTAACAAGAACAAAACAACTCCGCATATTTTCAGTTATTAATCTTCAGTTAAGTCGTGGAATTTTGTTATTCAATAAGCTATAATAAATATTTACAAATCACTAATTACTATAATAATTCAGCACGTCGTTTTTTGTTTTTAACCTGGATGTAAACAATGGCAACTGTTTGTTTTCTTACCCCGATTAAATAAATCTTGTCCAGGCTAAAGTTCGGTATTATCTTCACTGTCTCTTTTTCTGCGAGAAACTCCACCTCCAAAGGATCCATGTTTTTCTCGTTTTCACTTCGTTTTGTACTCGAATTTTCCCTTCTCTTACTGTCTATCGGAAAAAGGTTCCCGCGCTGAAACACGAAACACGGCAGCGGAAACCGGAAAAGGCTATCGTGTCAAACACAGGAAGGAGGTTCGCAGCAATTCTCGCGAATTGG